AGGAGAGGAGAGGAGAGAGAGAGAGAGAGAGAGAGAGAGAGAGAGAGAGAGAAACATCAGTTGGTTGCCTCCCGCATGCGCCCCCATTGGCTGGGGAACCTGCAACCAAGCTACCAAGCTACATGCCCTTGACTGGGAATCGAACTGGCAACCCTTCAGTCCACAGGCCGACACTCTAACTACTGAGCAAAACCGGACAGGGCTTCTCTTTCAACTTTTAATTCAACAATACTACACTTAAGAAATCTTTCATTTGCTGAACATCTTCAGACTCAGAGAATTAGGTATGCTAATACTTTATGCACACCATCCTTATCCCTGGGTATGCAAGTCTAGCTAAGAAAGAAAATCACTAGCTAATATGAACAAAAGTGATTTTCCTTAGCCATAATATGCAAAATACTTACAGCTTGCTCATTTTGTCTATAAACACAAAACACACACACACAATTTTATTTTGTTTTGAAGAAGTAGCAGGATGTATTCATAACTTCAAAGTATCTCCCACAGATACTAACTACAAGGGATAAAATAACTTTACAGTGAAAAAACCTAGCAGATACCACATTAACCAAATGATGAGAATTACTATCATCAATAACAAGACAAATCAACAGCATGTGCCTCCTGATATAACACAGTAAAAAGAACACATTACTCTGTGGTATTTCTGCCAAAAGTTTATAGCCTGAATCTAACTACAAGGAAATATTAGACAAAAATAATTTGAGAAATTCTACAAAATAATTGGCCTAAACCCTTCAAAAAAGAAGTCAGTGTCATAAAATACAAAGAAAAAGTCAGGAACAATTTCAGATTAAAGGAAACTAAAGAGACATGACAACTAAACACAAGCATGATTTTGAATGGTCTTTGCATTGCATTTGCATTTCCCAGGATATTACTGAAACAACTAGCAAAATCTGAACAGGTTCTGTATGAGGTAAGGGTCAACATTAATTGTTTCTCATATAAATAGTCAATTAACCATCATCATTCACCATAAAGACTACGCTTCCCCCTCCTCAGAGCCATCTATACTATAAATCCAACATCCAGTACAGGGGTGGGCAACCCCTGGTATGCATGCCAAACATGGCACGCCAGTAACTTTTGCTGGCACGCGAAACCCTCTCTTATAATCTTCCATTTACAATTTTTTTTCTTAATATCGACTTTTTTATTTTTCAGATAAATTCAGTGTAGGTGCATCTTAGATAAATAAATAATTTTACATAACAAGTTATCTTAAAGACCA